CTTTGTCATATCTACATGTCTACCCCATGTAGATACTACAGTCCATCTAGGGCACCTGAAATGGCACTAGATGCCTGTAATGTGCAATTGACTTCAGCATTAGATGTCTGCTTTTTTGTGAGCTCAGAAGTTCCCCTGAAAATACTCTTTCTCTCCACTGACTACAAAAGAAACTTAGTTCAGATATTAAGACATCTGTGGTAGATCCCTAGACGTGGTCAAGTGAACTCCATTTCTGGTTTTCTGGGCACATGCATCTCAAAGACACCTGTGATTCCTACTTTTCCCAAGGTGGTAGTACATTGTTTGTTTCTCTAAAGCACCTGCATGATATAGTCTCTGCACTGGTGTTTCTGACACAGAATCAAAAATGAGTGAAAATCATGCTGATGTGGTTCTGGAGTGATTTCAATTCTTATGCCTTCCTACATGCTCTAAAACCACAGGATGCGGCTTGTGACCAATGCAAGTTGGTGCTAAGATACAAAGAGTCAGGGATATAATTTTTTTTTGGTCATAGTGAGATCTGTGGTGTTAATTTTCTAAATGTGCTTCTTGCACAACAACATCTCTGCTCAAGCTTTCCCCCACTATCTCTAAGACTTAACATTTTAAAATGGTGTCGGTCAACCAAAGGTAATGAAAAAAAGCAGACAGGAGGATTTAGATCCTACTATAGTCTTATGCAATAAAAATCTTGTTCCCACGAGGATCATCTGTTCTGAGTAAGGCTCAGGTGGGATCCCCAATGGTCTGTGTAATTACAGGAGAAAGGATTCTTGTTTTCTGCTCTGAGTTATGCAACCAAGTCTAAGCTAGCCACATGACCTTCCTTTCACTGAAATTGAAGAGAGAAATTGAAGTCTTCAGAGGAGTTTTGCATTTAAGACTGCTCTAATAAATCACTCTCTGGATGTGTTCATTTTGGTCTACTGCCTATAAAAGACATTTATAAAGTCAATGAAATAAAATGACCTATATGGACCTGAAACCAGTGGAAGATTTGCTCCTGGTCTTCAAGATTAAATCTTTTGTCAGCCTTTATATGAATACATTAAATTGTATGTACAAACCCACTATTTTTATGCCTTTTACTGTTATGCTACTTTTGAAATATTCAAACAGTGACCTTCATATGAAAGTCGTCAAAGTTTTAAGGAAAATGTGATAAAAGTCTGCTTGGCAATCACATCTATACTTAAGCCATGGTGACTGTCAAAATATGTACTGAGTTAACGCTAACTGAATCAGGTATGGTACAAACCCCCTGGGCACAGTGGGTGGGTTTCTATTTGTCCTGGCTGACTATCTCTTCAAATACACATTCTGCTTCTTTATTTCTGACCTCTTAGCTCAAAGGTTTGGCTGTTGTTCCCTCTCTACTTGTTTTCTTTTCCTGTCTTGCTTTTTCCCTGTTTTTCTTCTTTGCTTGTCATTTGGTTTTCAGTCAGTTTCTCAATTCTGCAAGTTGTGGATCATCTACAGGAGATGCTCAGTGTTCCTTGATCTATGTGGCTTTTCTTTTTACTGCCATATATGCAGTGAGGTTTATCAGTGCTCTGTCCTGAGACCTGACCCGTGTAACATGTTTACAGTGACCTAGAGGAGGTGAGGGACTCTTCAAGCCTGCAGATGATGCCAGACTGGAAGTCACCTGTTGATATACTCAAGGGCAGGACTGCCAGACAGAAAGACCAAGACAGGATAAAGGAATGGGCTGACAGGAACCTTATATAAGGACTTACCTTGAATATTGTGTGCGGTTTTTGGACACTGCAATACAAAAAAGACATTAAGCTATTAGAGAGTGTCCAAAGGAGGGCAACGAAGATGGTGAAGGGCCTTGAGGGGAAGCCATATGAGGAGCCTCTGAGGTCACTTGGTCTGTTCAGCCTGGAGAGGAGGACACTGGGGAGATCTCATTGCAGTCTACAACTTCCTCGTGAGAGGAAGCGGAGGGGCAGGCACAGATCTCTTCTCTGTGGTGACCAGTGATAGGACCCAAGGCAAGGGCCTGAAGTTGTGTCAGAGAAGGTTTAGCTTGGATGTTAGAAAAAGGTTCTTCACCCAGAGGGTGGTTGTGCACTGGAACAGGCTCCTCAGGGAAGTGATCACAGCACCAAGCCTCACAGAGTTCAAGAAGTGTTTGGATGATACTCTCAGGCACATGGTGTGACTCTTGGATATGGTCCTGTGTAGGGCCAGGAGTTGGACTTGATGATCCTTGTTGGTCCCTTCCAACTCAGCATATTCTGTAATCTGTGATTATAAAATGAGGACTTGAGAGACAGCACACTGCACACAAGCCCTGCAGCACACAAGGGCAAAAGCCTCCTCAACTGTATGAACAGGAGTGCAGCCAGTAAGCAAACTGAGGGAAGTGATCATCTTCCCCTGCTCAGCACTCACTAGACCACATCCAGATACAACAACCTTCTGTATTTTCAGATTTCATACTACATTTCACAACTTCTCCTTGCTCTTTCATCTGCCTGGGAATAACATCTAAATCAGCCTGTCATCACAGAGGGCTGAAGCACAGGCAAGAGGCAGTGGCATAATGGTTGCAGTAGAAGCATGTATTTTTATTATCAGCATCCTAGAAACCATTAAGAAATTGCAGCATTACTTCTCGATATACTAAAGCCGTCATTATATCTTTATCTGCTTTGAGGAAAAATAATTTGTTCACCTTGGGGCACTGTTGAAGAAATATGGGGAAAGAGATATTCCTGAGGAATCACATGGTGGGAGGAGAGAGTAAGAAGATACAGGGCATATAGGATTTGCAAGAAAGGTGTAGTTATAAGTGGTAGGATAGTTGTGGGGAAATAGTTTGACAGTTACAATAGGCAGGGGAAAAGATCTGGTTTATTTACTCCTGTGGTTTATATAAACAATGATGTACAGCTATTAAATTTTAACTCCATTGTACATCTTGAAGACAAGTTGCAGGATTATCCAGATTCTCATGTTACTGCTAGAGACAGGAGGCGTATAGTCTCAGTGTTCTTCTCACCTTAGCCAGCAAGTATCTGTCCATGTAAATACTAAAATATGAATTTTTTCTGCTGTTCAAGGTCAGCATCTTAGCAAGAATGCTTATTCTTGAGTATGGCATGCCAAACAAGACCAAACATATCCACAGTTTATTGATTGCTGTTGCTTCTACATCCCTCTAGAATCAGGAGTTGCAAGTTGTGGGTGGTGGTGGAAAGAAATTTATGAGGGAGGTGTAGGCTTTTTATGTGACAAAATATTTTGGTATGGCTGTGCTGGACTTACTCTGTGTGGTATTTGGGATGCTGCTGCAAAACTGTCTGGTGAAAGTTAACAGTGGATTTTGTAATCAGGAAAAACTGTCCCAAACTCATACATGCAATGCTCAGTGCTCATCTGACAAGCTGCAACTAGTCTTCTGATCAACACTCTGTTGTCAGAGCATCATGGAGAAGCTGTCCCTGTATGTTGTTCTTCGAGTTCTTGACAGCACAGACTTCTCACAAAGTGCACTGCTGAAAGCTTATCTTGATCCTTGCTTTCTTACCTTCTGCTGTCTACTTATCATTGTTAAACAGATATATCCATCCCACTTCCCTGCGGAGTCATAGCCTCTCAGTTTTATGTGGGCTTGGAAGGAAAAAGGGCTTGTGTTGTTTCTGAGATCCCCCAAGATTTGGAGACATTCATTAGGAATTTCTCCTCCTCACATTGACGTTGTGTAGGAGATAGATGCATTATTTTAGTGATGACTTTGAATTGGGTGGCATTCTGTTTTGAAGCATACTGTGGAACAAGGGGTGGGTGGGGTCACAGCTGAAACTTTCTGCTAAATTCATCAGGATCAGCTAAATAGACAAAGATCACAGATAGAAAGATGATAAAATGATAGAATGTTTGACTGCAAGGGTCCTCAAAAGATTGCTTATTGCCACTATCTGCAGTAAGGCAGGGTCAGGTGTACCTAAACCTTTGGTGACAGAGCATTGTCTACTCAACTGTTACAAACCCTCCATTGCTCAGCCATTATATACCCTAGATTTCACAACTGCCCCTTGCAGCAAACTCTGATGTGCAACTGCTCTCTCATTTGCAATGCCTTCTTAAATGTAAAATTAAATAATGTTTGCCACAAATTAAAAGTCTTTCTTTTTATGGTGAACAAGGAGAACAGTTAATCACTATAATGAGCAGTAGAAAGACTGGACCACTGGAACAGGACAGTCTGCCTCCAGAGGTTTTGATTATGTAGGGCTTGCCGGCACCTTTCTCACCTTCCTTGCTTGAAAGACAACACTGTGCAAATCACAGATCTCTGCTGCCTGTCTTCATGGCTGACAAAAAGCATTGACAAAGGAGAGAGAGTCTTCCCAGGATTAAAGTGAGCCCAAACCAATCTTTTTTTTGAGAGTCAGAAATGGCAATGTTGTAAAATCAAATGTCTGGCATTGCAGACAGTGTCCAGAGCATGGTCATGTGGGAGACTGGATACTGGAGCTAGCTATAGCTGTCATATTCACAGAGATGCCCTGTACCTGGTCCAGTGTCATCATGTAAACTGAGCTGGTGGGGTTGAGAAAGGCATCTTTGAACCTTTGTATGAAGGTGGTAATGCAGACACCTCTCCCAGCTGCTGCCTGTCTGCTCCACTCACACCAAATGCCCTTCCGTTTGCTCTGAGTCAAACGGGCAGGAGGAAGCCAAATGCTGCATAAGCTTCATGAGGTTGCTAATTATGATGGCTGCCTGGAGTTGATGTGGTAAATAGAAATACCACAGCAGAGTCCAAATGGACATGCTGGTGTTTGCTTTTACCCTGAAGAAGCAAAGTGAACGCAGGAGTTTGATAACACCTGATCCCAGCCCTCAGAGCATAGCTGGCATATGGTACTCTGTGTGATGAGGGACATGTTAGATGGACCATTTGGACAAAGAAAGTGACCCAAACTCTCCCACAGACCACACTTAGGAGGCTTGGGATCTCTATATAGATAAATAACACAGCAGAACAGCTGTGTATCACATAGCTGCCAGTAACCTTGTATTTCCAGTCTGTTGCAAAAGATACTTATTCTAGAAAAGTGCTAAGTACATTTGTGTAAATACAGATAGTGATCCTGTTTGCATTTAACATACACATTTAATGAACAATAACAATTGCAAGGTTGGTATTTAGGAATAAATAGAGTTATTATTAAATTTATTCATGTAATTTCAGTTCTGACCCTTTGCATACATCTGATACTTACAGCTGTATTTATCCTAGTTGCAGTCATTATTGACATCTGAGAAAAATTTAACATTTTCTGTTGCAGTGGAAGATTGCATCCTTAAAATGCTAGAAGTTCACAGGAGGAATTTTACAGTTGGCATTTTCTAAATTTACACAGTCATTTCTTCTTATACAGGCTTATTTTCTACTCATTTGTTTGTGTGTGTCTGTGAGATACATATGCACTTTATTCTATATATATTCATGTCCACACCCACTATTTTTTATTTCTTTCCATTATTTAAAAAAACATATTAAAGACTATAATTCATTTTTAGTATATCTGTGTTACAGTGCAGGAAAATCAATTAGCTTTAGCTATCCCAGTTTCTTTTCCGTAAAACTGGGATTTACAATTCTTTGCAGTCCTCCCGTGGAAAAGGCATGTTGACCAGCACCTGGATGTTGTTATTATTGCTATGTACTCCCTTTTATCTGTTGAAGGGGTTAATAGTTTTTTTTACCCATACAAGTTTGAGCTGCGATGATGGAAGCCAGCTTAGGCATAGAAGTTTATTGCCTCATGTATGGTACTGTGTATGTGTGACTATACTACATGAAGGCCCCATGCGGCCTCCAGTATTTGACCTCCACTGGTAAGCTTCCATGGAAAACAGAAGCAGAAAACAGACAGAGTAGGGCACTAGCATCTGATATGCCACATGGCACTACAAGGCACAGCATCATCCCTGGGACAGTAGTTAGCTGAGATGGGGACTTTGGGCATGAGCACAGAGCTGTAGCCCCTCTCATGGTGCTGCAGTACCCAGCTGATATTGCCCAGGGGTGTCTGTACTGCGGCAGATGTAAATTGCTGTTCTGAAACAGCAAACAGCAAAGCTGTAGCATGCATTCTGCACTGCTTTCTTAATGAAATGGAGCTGTCTGCATGATTGGCTCTGTCATTGCAGCCTGCTTGTTCTGTGGTCAGTGCATGGAAACCATTTAATGTAGGTCACAATATGCTAAATGCAAATAAAGCAAAATCTGGAGTGACTGCACTCTAATGTGTCCATGCTTACACGCTGTCTTAAGTCATGGCTCAGAGACTGTTTATTTGCAAAAATAATTTCCTCTCTGAGCATCTGCAAGGAAAACAGCTTCTGTTCAGTGCTATAGGACACATTAAAATGACAACCTCTCTTCCCTTTTGGGTTTTGCAGACTCCATTTTTTGGAGCCCCACTGTGAAGTACATCTCGTTTTTTTTTTTTTTTTATTACCCCTTTCGGCATCCCCTCTCTGACTATCAAAAAAAACCCCTTTTGTGAGTGTCTTGCTGAAGTCTTTTTTTTTTAATATATTTTTTGTGTGCCCGATGATGAGCATTTTGAAAAGAAACATAGAATCTGAATGCATGAGCAAATCTCTTTGGGCACCTACTTCTTGAAAGAGAGGAAGACAGAGAAGTGGATAAATAGCAGAGGCAGTGCTGGAAACAGGTCTTTTCACATCAACCTCATCTAGGCTGAGTCTTGAAGTTCAGGTAGAGCAAACATAATTCCTAACTCTACTGCTATCTTGGTATTCAGTTCTAGCTCTGCACTGCCATTGCAGCAGTGCCCCAATCTTTAAATAAGGAATGCTATTACCTACTTCCCTATGCAATATATTTAGACTTCTGTGACAAATAACCATAACTAAAATAAAAGTGTTATTATAAAATCCTATCAATCATAATAAATAAAAGTGCTGCAAACAGTTGAAAGAGAATTTAAAAAGTGCTGCAAATATCTTATTTGTAAATTGACCAGGACACTGCTGGTAGCAAATTTTCTGTACAGTGTTTTGTAGGGTTTTTAAATGATCTTAAGTAGTCAGGGCGTTTGCTCAGAGTGTGTTGTGCAAGTTGGAATAAATGGCGGAATGATTTGGGCTTTTAAAACTAGGCTGAATAAAATGCTACAAGATATCCTGCATGGGTGGGCTCACTCTGACAGGCAGATGCATTCAGGAACATAACGTGTCTTGTATGGCTCTGATTTATATGACTCTGTGAAGGTGCCTAAGGGCTGGTTTACACACAAGCTCGTACTGTTTTAATTAAACCTGTTTTTAGTCTAGGATTTCAGTTCAGAATAAAAGTTACTGTCATCAAGACAGCTAAAAAATGTCAAGCTCTGCTTTATGCATCCCACTGTAGGTGTCTAAGTGAAGTGGTACAGCTCCGCAGGTACTGTACATATGGAAAACAGGTAAGCACTTCAAGAGCTAATGTCCTGAATTCCTTCAGGAAAGGGTTTAATTCTTTCCACTGACTCCAGGGCATGAGGAGATGAAGTCCATAGTTTAGAAAACTTGAATGAGAGATCCAGAGAAGATGATGTAGTATCTCCTCTCATTTGTGCAATTGTTTTTCCCTGTCTCTGATAGTTCTTTCAGCATTTATACCCAAATTGCCATTGCTGGGTGCAAATCAGAACTAGAAATGCAAATATTCTGGAAAAGATATGAAGAATAGCCTGGATAAAAAATGAGGTCTAATAATAACTCACTAAAAATATTTGTAGAGAAATTCAAGAAAAAGTGAGGAAAAGAAATAAAACAAAAATGAAAAGGTACAGATGAAGACTTTAGGAATATGTGGCTGGAGGTTCTTTTAATGGAATATAGAGGGGTTTATGACCATATTTGTTGTCTGAGTCTTGAGTTTTAAGAGAAGTCAAAGGGAGTAAGACAGGCAATTTAATGGGGCTTTGGCACTAGTTTTCTTTCAGAAAATCTTGCCTTAGATACCTAAGTGATAAAGTCTATTCTATTCATGTACATATATATTAATGTATATATGCATATAAGCCACATGTGTGTATGCATGAAGAGATATACTTATATATATCACATGCATACAAATATAAAATGTATATTTAGTAGATTCATGTGCACAGTAATTGGGTACACATATGCAGACATACCTCCCTCCCCTTTACATAAGTACAATCCTAAATCAATGAGAGTTTCTTAAAAAAGAATTAAATAATAGTTAGACACCACTTGCCACTTGAACTTTAAGCACTGATCTCTTAACAGAGGGATTCAACGGTCCCTCAGTCAGACCCTCAGACTCTGGGGAGTTTGACCCGCTGCCCATTCAAACTCCTCTGAGTTTGTTTAGCTCTCTTAGAAGCTGCAGGCTCCCCTGTTTTCCTCAGTGGTCTAAGTTCTGCTTGCACAGACGCCCAAAGGCTCTGGATCTCGGTCTATCTAGGGTTTGGAAATGAAGTTCCATCCCTCTGTCAGGTCTGGCAGTCATGATCTGAGCCACCCAGCTAGCAGGATGGTCTTTGCACAAAATACAGAGCTCAGAGAGGTAGAAATAACCTTGAGACTGGAGCACTAACCTCAGACTTGGATTCAATCTTCTGTTTCAGAGACTCACATCTAGGTTGCCTCAATAGAAAAAAACCAGTAGCAAGCACTCCTGGAGAGTTTTTTCTGCTCCTGAACTGAGACCACAGCAGCATCCACATACAGGAGTGCTTGTGGTCAAGGCCAAACTCCATGTGCTGCACTCTTATTGTTTAGCGCCAAGCCCCTCTGCGCTGGTCTTCAGGCTCTTCTGGACTCATTGTAGGCCTAGTATTTCAAGTATCTAAAATCAAGAACTGGAGATAGCTGGTGCTATCTAAAACAGCAGTGCAGGACTGAACTTCATGCAGTTTCACCTGTGTCACTGCTGAGGTCTTACCTGGGAAGGCTAAGAGTAGGAAGAAACAAATTTAGCAGCAAACAAGTTGTTTCGCTCCAAAGGAGAATCCCAAGCTAAGCTGTAAGTAAACACATAGGGTGTTGGAGAGAAATGAAGAGGTAAATCTGTTGGCATTTATATAATAAAGAGCTAAATCTGTTGGCATGCATCATAGCATTTGTGTCTAAGAGCTACAGTACTAGGAAGAGAACAGCAAGAGTGTCTAAGTTTTCAGCTGAACGGGTAGGTCTCTTGATTGTGAGGATTCAGTTACAGATCATTTACAGTTCCTCCTCCTCATGAATAATGTTCATTATCACTCGTGGACAAAAAAAAAAAGGTGGAAAATATTTACAGGGGTGATCAGTGGTAGTCAAAATTTGGTCCCACTATTTTGTAGAAGGAGTCTGCAGTCTGGGGAGGAACTGACTTGGAAAAAGGGCATAGATAAAAGTGAATTCTGTGGAAAAAGTAAATATACAATAATTATTTAGTGTAATATCCAGTGAAGTTGCCTGGGAAACTTATAATAAACAAATTCGGTATCTTCACATCATTAAATTATGGAATGCATTGTCCATAATTGATATCTCATTGATACCGGGAGAGCCCAGAGTTAAACACTAATGGGCAGGGGGCAGATTTGTGGGGGAAATCTTTCTTGCAGCTTATTCAAGCTGTAATAGAATGTCTATTAAACATAAGGATCTGATATAACCTGTGGCTGAGGCGGATCCTAAGCTGCTGACAGAGGGAAACAGAGGTTTGTTATTGATGTGCTTTTTCTTTCTTTCCTAATGTCTTCCTCAATGCCTCTGCTATTGGTTGCTGTCAGAAACAAGAACTAGGTTAAACATGCCTTTGGTCTAAGTCAGTGACTCTCTTCTTATGTTCTTGTAAAGAAATCACAGATAATCCTGTGCATTGTTACTTTTAAAGCTGGAAAGGGAATAGTTCACATATTTTTCCTGTTGCCTCGATAGCTCAGCATACTGCCGCCATGCATGAAGTGTGCCAATAATCCCATTTAACTCTCCTTATTCCACAGAGGATTCAAATTCAAGAGAACAGCTCCAGGCACTTAAAATATCATATAGGAAGGCCAAATAAAGGACAGTGATCACAGAAAACCCTTTCCAAGCCTCTTGGGCTTGATTGAAAAGTTCCTGCCTATGTCCCAGAATGTCACTGGTATTTTAGAGCAAACTCCCTTGGTGCCTACTTCTCATGATGGAGGTCCAACAGTTATAATTGCTGGTTTACATTAAATGATGGGACACAGGCAGTTTAAGTCTCAGTGCCACAAGCAGAAGTCTGTTCCTATTTCTTCCCCCTCCTATCATGGGCACGTGGACACATGACTTCCCTGTGCAAGCACAGGCACTTCTGTGGCTACACAGTCAGCTCGATCAGCAAGATGATAACCATATGGCTACCTGCATACTACTGAGCAGAAATGTGGGGCACAGGCTGAAATCAGTATTTTAAGAGCAGTGAGACTTTATATTGGTTTAGACCATGTGTGGAAGCATGTACATCCTCTCTGGTACGATCTAATTACTAAGTTTGCTTGGTCCATGATGAAGTTGTTTGGATAACACTGACCTCAGTTAAGAACTTGTGAAATTTATTGTATAAATGATCATTAACTCCACCAAATGTGGAGCATTTGGTCAGGAAGTAGAAGACCAAGGATTTAAATTAATGTCCACATTGTTCAGATTAAAACAGGGGATTGTACTGCTGAGAAGGATATCCTTGCTATAATTCAGACATACCCTTAAGATGATCCCCTACATCCTTCCTCTTTAAAGCAGGAGTGAAAAATTTACAGGGTCAGAAGAGGTGGGACAGAGTATATTTGCAGCTTAGACCTTAGATGCCTCATCAGGGGAAGGAAAAGCCTCTTTCTTTTTCTTGGATGATTTTTTCCCTTCAGTGCTTATGTCAGGTAGGATGTGCACACAACATCCTGTAACTGCATCCAAATACACAGTTGTCCTTACTCCCAGGTACAGAATTGGGCTCTTCTGCTGTTCTTCCAATGAGGGCCATGAATTCCGATGCCTGGCTGTACAAAAATTCAGCTTGAACAGATGTGGAGGCATCTTTCCACCCAGGTAAGCCTACAGATGGTCATTCATGCACCCTCCAGTACTTCTGGGAGGTATAAATTTAAAACCTGTTAGTCTGAGGAAGACACTGAACTCAGGTTTATTATTTCCTGGATAAGATGTTATGCAGAAGAGAGCTGCTGTGGAGGTCTATTCCTCAAGGGAAATCCAAAAGCTTAAGCTAGTACCAGGTCTCTGAATTGCATGTTGACAGCTGTGTCTGATACAAGTGCTCAAGCCTTAGCAAGGGACAATGTTTCAGATGCACCCTCCCCTTCGTCTTTGCTGAGGCAGGCTGCGGTGTAGGAACCAAATCACCTAGTTTTACTCAAAGAGAACCTCAGCACCTGATGCATTTGAGTGGAGTGAGGCACCCTGGTGAGTGCCGCAGTCTCGCCTTGCACTGCAAAACTGCCTGAGCCGAATATGCACAGAGGCGGTCTGCCAGCGCCAGCTGGATGCTCACACAGGAGGAGGGGAAAACTTTTAATTAACCAGATTCCAGTTACTGTAACACAAATCCAGATTGTAGTTGGGGCTTCAGAGTGTTCCCTTGAGTGCTGAAGGCTACGGCCTGCTTAGGAAAGCCCGATGATGGTCACTCACATAAAGAGAAGACATTGACTGTGTTACTACAATGGGGCAAGCCTTCCCATTAATTGAATGGGCCTGTGATTAAGCTTCCAAAGAAATTTACTTGCATGTAAGGCTACTCATTTGCCCAGAAAATAGGAATAAAGGCAAAGAAGCTTGAAAAGAGTACTGTATTTTTATGTTAGGAATAAAGCCAAATTCAGCAGTGTAGTGATGATATTCCTGTAACTCACTTAGAAGAATTAAAAAAGGATGTCTATTTTGTGAATATTTATATTTTTTCTTAAATAATGATAATTAAAATAGCAAGAAAAGAGGTGGTTGGAGGACATCATATACCTCCTCCTACTCCTTGGATGAAATTCACAAGCTTCAAATACTATCATCAAAGATAAAAGGCTTGTTGTGTTGGCAACTTTACAGTTGCTTTTCAAGCCTGTCAGTCATGCTATGGCATCAGCCATTGTTCTTCTGGAGACCTCCTTCTTCTCTGACTTGATGGGAAAAAATCTGTCATCTTTTAAATTATATTCCCTTCCCAAAATTAAAAGGAGGGCAAGAATTGGCAGATCCCTCTTTAGGAAAGAGAAGACATCTATTATTTATATACCTCTTTTAACCTCGCCGCTGTTAAATCTGATTGCAGAAAAACCCAAGCTGCCATTCACTATAAAAAAAATAAGTAACATTGAAACCTTTGTTTTGTATTGAATTAAAATATTGGAAATGCAAAGCTCTACCTTGATGTTGGGATCAAGGGAGATGCATTTGTGTTGTTGCGGCAGTCATAAGACAGAACCCATTCTTTTCAAAGTAATTGGCTGCCTGCTGTCAGAAGTCCTGAGGAAAGTTTGGCATGTTTGTTCAGAGCTGCATTGTCTTGCTGTATTTATTTAGAATAGGATGCTGCCTATAGCTGGACCTGTTCAATCAGCAGTGACCGTCTACCTAGTGAGTTCTGAGCATGTTCACGTGCACTTGCTTGTACTGTGCAACGTATTTTTTTGGTTTTGCTCCTTTAAACTGCTTTGGTTGGAAAAACTCCTCTGCAAACATGGAGCAAACTGAATTAGAAAAGATTTCCACTTCAATCTTTACAACAGAGACTTCTGAAAACCTTGTTTAGAAGTGTTTTGGAGAAAAGATGTGGCCTCAAAGCAGCTCAAAAGCTTCGTCCCAGTCTAGAAGCTCAGAAATAATTCTTGCACACCATCTGACAGGGAAAAGTATCAGACTCAGACAGTGGAAAGAAAACGAGATATTGACCAAATGTTTACCACTTAAGTATCTCTCAATGGATATTCACCCCATTCTCATCTTGAGAGCTCAGATTACCCAGTGAACCGCTTTGCCCCAGTATGAAATGTGCATCTATCCAAGATGTAACTTTCAAGCACAGCTAGTGATAGCTGAACAAAACCCACCAAAAACCAGAGCAAGCCAGTTGGATAGTTTCAGTAAAGCTTCATATAATGAACAATACAGACTAAAGCTGAAGTTTTTCATGAAATCACAAAGCAATTATAATCAAAAGGAGCTTGAAAAGATGTGATATGAAATACTAGCATTCCCCTGGGATAAAATAGTCCTGCAGGGCCCTTCCTGTCTCATGAGTCTGTCCTGAACTGAAGGAGGAAAATAGGACATATCAGCTGATACAACAGATAAAGAAATTATAAATTCTTAGTATTATGGACCAACCTGCCTCCTGCTATAAATGTGTTTCTCATATTGAAGAGGGATATTCTTCCCTCATCTCCACATTGAATTACTGTGGATTTTTGAAATTTAGCCTGAAAGGAAAATGAAAACCAAAGGCTATGTCTGAAATTATTAGCATCCTACTAGTATCCAGTATTTCATAGTGAGACAAGGAAAATACCAGCATTACTATTTTTTTGTACATACACAGTTAACTTTTTTTTTTCTTTCATATTATGAAAAGAGTTTCTGAATTTTGAGTTCTAGAAAGTCAGGAAAAATATATTTATCTAACTTCCGCATATGACAAAGTTTCCCTCATCAATCAGCTACTCTATACCTTTTTCTAATGTCAGATACCTAAAAATAAAAAGTGTAACTCCGGGCTTGTAATCTAGATACTACTTCTGTTTAATGGACACAAGTAGATATCTCCAAAATATGACACATTTCAGACTATGCTAAATAACATGGCTGGGTGAGTCATTCCCTGTCATGCCCATTCCAGTACAGCTGCTTTCTAGGAACTGGATAGAGACCATTAGGCACTGAAGGCTGCCCAGCAGACATAATAATTCTGGTTCCAAATTCACGTCACCACTATGAACCTGGTCAAAATCCAATTAGTGACCTGCTATAGAGGTGAAAGCCTGAATAGCCCATTGGTAATTCCCTGAAAAATTTGGTCTCCCAAAGCAATTTTGTTTAGCTTGAAGCCTGTTCGTCCAAACTACTGATTTATATTTTAGCCGAGTACAAACAGGATTTTGATCATTAAATGTAATAACAGCATTTGTTCTTACAGGGTAAAATCAGCTCAATCCATATCCAGTAAAGTAGCCTGAGTAATTGAAATAGAAACACACCACTCCATCCCTTCAGGCATGTAACAATAATAGCTAATAGTAAAAGATGATGTATCTCAGCCCTTAGAGACACTGGAGTAATTTGTAGGCCAACAAAAAGATCTTCTGTAGCAGCTATTCAAAGAGGGCAAGGTGTTTTCTTTCTATTTGTATCTCTTGATTTATGCTTTGGATAGTATTACTAATCTCTGTGCTAGGGGTAGCTTTGAACAAGATATCTGTAACTAGAAAAATTACACACACATGCTCACAGGTTCTCACTTGTGCCCATACTCAGTCACATACTTTTCTTCCCTATTTTTGTGATAATAATTTGAACTCATAGAACAGAACATGCCAGAGCAAGGAATGTTTTTTTTTAAATGCCTGAATGCCAAGGTATCACATCACTTTTTCACTTTTGCCATAGTAAATGTATCAGAGCAAATGTGCTTGTGCTCAAAAATTTTAAAAAAATCACAAGTCTGGTAACTGCTGCTCCCATGGTGAAAGTAATGGAACCAATGTATTAAGAGAAATTAATCACTAGCTATCTAGATGGTAACAGCCCCCTCTCTATAAGAATAAGCTTTGTTGGACACAGCTTGCCTGTTTCCAGCACTGATTGACATGGACTCTTTGGGTGATTATTCCGTTTGTGCTTCAGTATGTTTCCAAAGAGTACTGTGTATTCACAGAAGAGAGGTAGATGACCCTGAAGGTTTCAGGGGCAGAACAGTTCCAGCAAACCAAGTTGCCTGCTCCCAGGAAAGCAGCTTTCTTCCTCAAGAGGGCTTAACTGGCATCTACATCTCTCCAGAGAATGTAGAAACTTCCTATAGAAAAATTGCTTCACCCGGAAATTTAAATGTGGGTACAAGTGAGGCATCCAAGTCAACTGGATTAGATCACTCCCTTTTTTAAAATCAAAATACTAGGTGGGTTCTTGACTTGCTCTAGACCCTTGACTGTTGCAGCCTGGAGAACAAATGATCTGACTCACAGCAAAGGAGGAACAGAGGGAACCTTTATTAATGGGGGACGGGGACTTATATAGGGTTTTGAGGGAACTCTCTGGAAAAAGGGGTGGAGTGAGGGTGGAGCATTCTAAACAGGACCATACAAGGGAGAAAGGGGAGGGTTTTATGAATAACTGGGTGGATACTACCATATATGGAACATCCAAATAAAGGTGTGGTGCACTGCACCAGCTGAGAACCAGTCAGCAACAAGGAAAGGAACAAGGGCACAGACCATGAGGGATTTTACAAAATTAATAAGAGGAAAGATCATAAAAAGGGGTAAAATACAAACTGTAAGGTATAACTTTAACATATAGTCCAAACAACCATATCA